TTTTTTTTTTTTTTTGAGATGGAGTTTTGCTCTTGTTGCCTAGGCTGGAGTGCAATGGTGCAATCTTGACTCGCTGCAACCTCCGCCTTCTGGGCTCAAGCCATTCTCTTGCCTCAGCCTTCCCAGTAGCTGGGATTACAGGCATGTGCCACCACGCTCAGCTAATTTTGTATTTTTAGTAGAGACGGGGTTTCACAATGTTGGTCAGGCTGGTCTAGAACTCCTGACCTCAGGCAATCCACCCACCTCAGCCTCCCAAGAAATAAAAATATTTAATAGTAGAATACTGATAAATGTTGGGCCAGGCGCAGTGTCTCACACTTGTAATCCCAGCAGTTTGGGAGGCTGAGGCAGGTGGATCACTTGAGGCCCAGAGTTGGAGACCAGCCTGGCTAATATGGCAAAACCCCATCTCTACTAAAAATATGAAAAATTATCTGGGTGTGGTGGTGTGTGTCTGTGGTCCCAGCTACTTGGGAGGCTGAGGCATGAGAATCGCTTGAACCCGGAGGTGGAGGTTGCAGTGGGCCTAGATTGCGCCACTGCTCTCCAGCCTGGGCAACAGAGCAAGATTGTCTCAAAAAGAAAAATAGTATTTATAAATGTTGAAGTTTACTGATGGTACATGTGGGTTCTCTGTATTATTTACTCTTGTTTGTATTTGAAGTTTTTCATGATCTGTTAAAATTTAAAATGAGAACTTGACCGCCAGAGAAAAGTTTTTAATATATAAATTTACTTTTTTCAGCCCAATATCAGTCCATCATCCATCTTTTGTATACCTTGCAAAAATCCATTTCCTACATTACTGTTATGCAAAAGGTTATCTTGAGTAGGGATTTAAGTGAAAAAACATGCAGAGCTTTTCTTCTTCATGTTTGACTATGTGCTAGTAGATAGCCATTAGCTTCTGGTGTTTCTAGATTTGCAAAATGCATATAGATCTCTTAGAAATCACATAAGTATCATGTTGTCAATTGCTGTTAACATTTTAAAATATGAATCAAACACCATCTTCCCCTCATGCAAATTCTCATATACAGCACAACCTTTTTTCTTTGTGAGTGGTATCTGTCTCTTCCTCAATGTGAAGGGTCTTAGGATATGTAACTGCTTTTTTAGGGGTATGAAAATTTTACAGTTCTTATATATACACATATGTTTAATGAGAACAGTGTCTGATATACCAAGGATGTGTACTTGTCTTGTTTATTCATTATTTTCTCCTTTTTCCATTTTTCAGTACATGTACTAGCCTTAGCAAGTTCTGTTCCAAACTCAGGCACCTTGACTTGGCTTCCTGTACATCAATAACAAACATGTCTCTAAAAGCTCTGAGGTAAATTTCTTATAATAAGCATGTCCAGTAATCAGAAAAAAATACATACTTTTAAAAAATAACTGATATAAAGTTGGAATTGAAGGCAACTCTGTTTTATGGATATATTCTGTAGTTCAGAATAGATATTTTGTTTTACCACTTGCCCTGATTACAGTTATGGGACATACTAAAGTGAAATGACTAGAGGTAACTAGGATTTCTGAATAGGGTAGTACAGTTTATACATAAACAATTAGATTTTTATGAAGTCTTATTTTCAAAAAGAAAATAAGGCCGGGCACAGAGGCTCATGCCTATAATCCCAGCACTTTGGGAGGCCAAGGCGGGCAGATCACGAGGTCAAGAGATTGAAACCATCCTGGCCAACATGGTGAAACCCCGTCTCTACTAAAAATATAAACATTAGCTGGGTGTGGTGGCATGCACCTGTAGTCCCAGCTACTAGGGAGGCAGAGGTTGCAGTAAGCTTAGATCGTGCCATTGCACTCCAGTCTGGTGACAGAGTGAGACTCCATCTCAAAAAAAACAAAAAAAGGGCACGTGTTATTATAGCTTAGTGCTTAAAACAGGTATCTGGAGCCAGATTATTAACCAGGTACTTTAAGCAAACATAACCTTTCTGAGCTTTTTCTTCTCACCTCATAACATTTTAAGGTTTAACGAGGTATTAGGCGACACCATATAAAGTTTTGCTAGTATTTGACAGTTTTCATGTTATAAAAATGACAGCTACATGTGGCTCAACCTGATGTATATAAAGTGCTTTAAAAAGGGTCCCTGAGGCCCTGGGTGTGGTGGCTCACTCCTGTAATCCCAGCTCTTTGGGAGCCCAGGGTAGGAGGATCACTTGAGCTCAGGAGTTCTAGACCAGCCTGCGCAATATAGGGAAACCCTGTCTCTCCAAAAAAAATAAGAAAATTCGCCAAGCGTGGTGGCATAGCCCTGTAGTCCCAGCTGCTCAGGGGACTGTGACGGGAGGATCGTTTGAGCCCTGCAGGTTGAGACTGCAGTGAGCTATAATTGTGCCACTGCACTCTAGGCTGGGCAACAGAACGAGACCTCATCTCAAGAAAAAAGAAATACAAATTTAGTTAAGTAGAGTATAAATAATCTAAAATGTGGCTCCTTTTAGACCTTCTTTGTGAATATTGAACACATGTACCTAAGACGGTTTGCTGTGTAGGCTAATAAACTTGATAATATAACAACTTTTATCATTTATAAAATATTTTCACATAAATGATCTTATTTATTTAAAAGCTTTGTGAAGTAGAGTGGATGGGCATTTTACAGCTAAGAAAATCTAGAAAGTTGTTGACTGCCAGGTACTGTAATGCAACCATCAGATGTAACTGAGTAAGATATTGCTGCCCTTAAGTTGCTCACAGTCAACTGTTACTGTGGAATAAATGCTATGATAGGAATGAGTACGTCAGTTTTGGGAAAACATAGAGGTATGGAGCTAATCTTAGACTAAGAGAGGTTCAGACAGGCTTCCTAAAGTCACCTTCCTGAAGTTAAACTATTAATATTGGAGAATGAACTTGAACTGGGATATCATGGCTTTATCTTCTGGGTCTTTTCGGCAGGCAGGAATATTTCCAACAATTTATGGAGTGTTTTCTGAAGAATATTATAGAAAACTTGGAATTCATCCATAATCCAAATACGAAGCTAAACTGTTAAGAGTAGATGGAATCAACGATGAAACTAGTAGTTTGAAGGCAGAGATTGGACATAAGATATCCTAAATTCAGCCTACAAAAGCAGTACTCTAGAACCATCTCTTTTTTTTTTTTTTGAGATGGTGTCTCGCTCTGTTGCCCTGGCGCGATTTCGGCTCACTGCAAACTCCATGTCCCGGGTTCACGCCATTCTCCTCCTCAGCCTCCCAAGTAGCTGGGACTACAGGCGCCCACCACCATGCCCGGCTAATTTTTTTTTTCGTATTTTTAGTAGAGACGGGGTTTCACCATGTTAGCCAGGATGGTCTCGATCTCCTGACCTCATGATTCGCCCACCTTGGCCTCCCAAAGTGCTGGGATTACAAGCGTGAGCCACTGCGCCCGGCCTAGAAACATCTCAAGGAAATACACAGGGCCTTTGTAATTTTTTAAAATAAAAGTTTAAAAGCCTTCATTACTACTTTGGTACTGTGAGTTGAATATCCCTATTTCAAAAATCCAAAATGCAGCTGGGTGCTACTTGAGGGACTGAGGTGGGAGGATCACTTGAGCCATGGAGGTCACAGATGTAGTGACCCCTGATGGCGCCACTGCACTCCAGCCTGGGTGACAGAGCGAGACTCTGTCTTAAAAAAAAAAAAAAAAAGAAAGAAAATCTGAAGTGCCTCAAAATCCCAAACTTTTTGAGTATCGATGTGACCCTCAAAAGAAATGGTCATTGGAGCACTTCAGGTTTTCAGATATGGGATATTCAACTATGTAAGTATAATGCAAATACTGCAAAATTAGACATCTGAAACACTTCTGGTACCAAGCATTTAAGATAAGGGATACTCAACCGGTAATAGCATTGCTCGATGGAGAATCTGGTTTTGAATCTGAGCTCTTTATTAATTACTCTGTAAGCTAGAATAAATCACTTAATTTCCATTTTCTGTCTAGAGAGCTTTGAGATATGTGATAAGTACAAAAGGAATATAAATCTGAAAAACATTATAATGCTTTGTGTTTGTTGGTTAAGCTGGATTTTAGATGATCCTGCTAATGATATAGTCCCATGTGAATACCACATTGATAAATCAGCTTTTTTTCTAAATATACCTTAGGTAAATATATTTTTTCTTGTGGGAAAAAAATGGGAATGTTTCCATTCCTTTACTAAACAGCCAGTAAATTGAGACGTTGGTGTTTTTGGAATTGGATTTAGTGATATGTTTCTCTTATTTTGTTTTATCCTTAGTGAGGGATGTCCACTGTTGGAGCAGTTGAACATTTCCTGGTGTGACCAAGTAACCAAGGATGGCATTCAAGCACTAGTGAGGGGCTGTGGGGGTCTCAAGGCCTTATTCTTAAAAGGCTGCACACAGGTAATACTCCATGTAGGGCTCGTGAAATTCAGAAGAATCATGAACGAATCATGAGTTCTCTATAGACAGCCCCAAAATGTTTGTCTGGAGGGAAAGGTTAGTTGTGTGTATTATTGACCAAAGACACATGCTTACCAAAGATTAAAGTGTTTTCCTTAGGACAAAAGAATGAGAAGAATTAACATCCAACCAAAAATAGACTTGAGGAGGAGGGAGATAAGGTGGAAAGATAAGATTATATTAAAGATACACCATGGTCAAGAAGAGTTTCGTGCAGTTTAATTTGTGCTGAGAAGAAAACTTGGCATGTTGTCACTGCCTGATATTTTGAACTAGATAGGCAAAGAAGGCAATTTCCACTTGTTTTTTAACCACTAGTGTTTCTTAAATATGCCAAGTGTACAGCAGCCTGCATTTTATAATATTGATGCTTATTTCCTGCCAGTCACATTACAAATCCAACATATTTTGTCATTAAAAATTTTACTATCTCAGTGTTTTATAGTGAAAAAAAGAATTGATTAGTTAGCCTCCGGAAAGAAATGAGTGGATTTAAATTGTGACTGACAAACTAAGGCTAGGCTCTACTTTATTTTCCTAATTAGGATTCCATTAAAAATGCCCTGATTCTTTTATCATGATGAGAGGGGTTCCATTGTTTGAAAGAGAATTTCAGATGTATGACTGCCTTAAAACAACAACTTGAGCTTCTGGTTATTTATGGAATCCTGAAAAATACTGATTGGAATATATCATTATAATCAGTTACTTACCATCTGTTCTCAGCACTGTAAGCATGACACCTATCTTCCAGTGGGAGATGGACACTGGATTCCTTTCTTGGCTGTTTTTCCTCAAAGTTTGTTTATGAAAAACTTTATAAGGGGTGTGTAGAAGTTTGAAAATTATTTTCGTTTCATGGGCCCTCAGCAAAATGCTGCCAGGTATATTTAATTTATCAGAAGTAAAACCCATAAAAACTAGGCAGTGTTAACTTCATCTTTGTTCTTGATGTAATGATAATGTGAATTTGAATGTGGTCAAAGCTGATTTTAAATCCTGAGAATCATAATAATATGAATTATACTGTTACGTGATCATAGCTTATTTTCTGGTTCATTGTTCCTTCAAAACTTGGTTGGCTGTGTTAGAATGTATGAATGAATGTGTACATTCTTAAATCTTTCTCCTTTGAAACAATGTCAGTAATCATTTTTTTCTTACTTTTTAATCTAGCTAGAAGATGAAGCTCTCAAGTACATAGGTGCACATTGCCCTGAACTGGTGACTTTGAACTTGCAGACTTGCTTGGTAAACATCCCTTCTCACAATTCTTCTGTTTTAGTAATTCATTTCATTAAAACTATTTTAAGAGCTTCAGTCATCAAGACCAGTATTGTTTTTCTACCACAACCCTAGTGACAAAGTAAACACACAGATGACTCTTGACATGCTTAACAATACTCATTCCTAGGGGCCTTGACATAGATAAGATAGGAGGTAGCTAGCTTATACAGAATTCCAGATGAGCTAGCTGTAGCTCCACCCCTTTCTTACATACTTAAAACAAACTGTCTACTTTTAAAATGTAAATGATTCACAAATTTAGTATTTAAAATTGCAGTCAAGCTGGGCACGGTGGCTCATACCTGTAATCCTAGCACTTTGGGAGGGTGAAGAAGGCAGATTGCTTGAGTCCAGGAGTTTGAGACCAGCCTAGGCAACATGGCAAAACCCCGTCTCTACAAAAGGTATAAAAATTAGCTGGGTTTGGTGGTGTGTGCCTGTAGTCCCAGCTCCTTGGGAGGCTGAGGTGGGAAGATAATTGAGCTTGGGAGGTTGAGGTGCAATGAGCTGAAATCATGCCACAGCACTCCAGCTCAGGCAACAGAGTGAGACCTTGTCTCAAAAAAATAAATAAGGCCGGGCGCGGTGGCTCAAGCCTGTAATCCCAGCACTTTGGGAGGCCGAGACGGGCGGATCACGAGGTCAGGAGATCGAGACCATCCTGGCTAACCCCTGTCTCTTATACACATCTAGATGTGTATAAGAGACAGGACCTTGTGATCCGCCCGCCTCGGCCTCCCAAAGTGCTGGGATTACAGGCGTGAGCCACCGCACCCGGCTTTTTTTGTATTTTTAGTAGAGATGGGGTTTCACTATGTTGGCCAGGCTGGTAATTTTTGTATTTTTAGTAGAGATGGGGTTTTGCCATGTTGACCAGGCTGGTCTTGAACTCCTGACCTCAGGTGATCTGCCTGCCTCAGCCTCCCAGATTGCTGGGATTACAGGTATAAGCCACGGCCCTCGTCATATTTTTGAGACAGAGTCCTGCTCTGTTACACAGGCTGGAGATTTTTGCTCACCTTCACCTCCCAGGCTCAAGTGATTGTCCCACCTCAGCCTCCCTAGTAGTTGGAACTACAGACATGCACCACCACACTCAGCTGATTTTTGTATTTTTTTGTAGAAATGGGGTTTTGCCATGTTAGCCAGGTTGGTCTCGAATTCCTGGGCTCAAGTAATCCACCTGGCTTAGCCTCCCAAAGTGCTGAGAATACAGGCGTGAGCCACATGCCTGGCCAACAGTACACCTTTAGCATTTTTCTCTTGCCTTAAAAATTACAAATATATTTGCCTTGGAGTGAGAGTTGCTCATGACAAAGAAAAAAGTGATGAGTTCCTTTTTTTTTTTTTTTTTTGGTGAAGTCTCACTCTGTCACTTAGGCTGGGATCATAGCTCACAGCAACCTCCAGCTACAGGGCTCAAGCAATCCTCCCACTTCAGCGTTCTGAATAGCTTAGTTTACAGGTGTGTGCCATCACACCTGGCTAAGTTTTTAATTTTTTGTAGAGATAGGGTCTCCCTATGTTGCCAGGCTGGTCTCAAACGTCTGGGCTCAAGCAGTCCGCCTGCCTCAGCCTCGCAAAGTGCTCTTCCTTACAATTCTGATTACTATAGTTGCTGACTAAGAGTTTGCCTAATTTCATTTTATTTATTTATTTATTTATTTATTTATTTATTTATTTATTTAGAGACGGAGTCTCGCTCTGTTGCCCAGGCTGGAGTGGAGTTCACTGCAACCTCCAGGAGGTTCAAGCAGTTCTCCTGCCCCACCTTCCTAAGTAGCTGGGATTACAGGGTGCGTGCCTCCATGCCTGTCTAATTTTAGTAGAGATGGAGTTTTGCCATGTTGGCCAGGCTGCTCTAGAACTCCTGACCTCAAGTGATCTGCTGGCTTTGGCCTCCCAAAGTGCTGGGATTACAGGTGTGAGCCACTGCACCCAGCCATGATTTCATATTTAAGACTGGAATGTGGCCAGGCACAGTGGCTCACGCCTGTAATCCCAACACTTTGGGAGGCCGAGACGGTGGATCGTTTGAGGTCAGGAGATCAAGACCAGTCTGGCCAACATGGTGAAACCCCATCTCCACTAAAAGTACAAAAATTACCCGGGCGTAGTGGTGTGTGCCCGTAATCCCAGCTACTTGGGAGGCTGAGGCAGGAGAATCGCTTGAACCCAGGAGGTGGAGGTTGCAGTGAGCCGAGATCGCACCATTGTACTCCAGCCTGGGTGACAGAGTCAGACTCCATCTCAAAAAAACAAAAGGACTGAAATGGTTAGTCTTGAGAGATCAGCCACAATTATTGTAAACATGAAATCATCTTACAATGCCAAAGAAAAACTATTCCTGGAGAGCTTCGTGTGTGTGTGTGTGTGTGTGTGTGTGTGTGTGTACGCACACATGTGTGCATGCGTGCGCCTGTAATCCTAGCACTTTGGGAGGCTGAGGTGGGTGAATCACCTGAGGTCAGCAGTTCGAGACCGACCTGGCCAACTTGGTACAACCCCATCTCTACTAAAGATACAAAAATCATCCAAGTATGGTGGTGTGCGCCTGTAATCCCAGCTATTCAGGAGTCTGAGGCAGGAGACTCACTTGAACCTGGGAGGTGGAGGTTGCAGTGAGCCAAGATCACGCCACTGCATTCCAGCCTGGGCAGCAGAGCGAGACTCTGTCTCAAAAAAAAAAAAAAAAAATGCTGGGCGCAGTGGCTCACACCTGTAATCCCAGCACTCTGGGAGGCCAAGGCGGGTGGATCACAAGGTCAGGAGATCGAGACCATCCTGGCTAACATGGTGAAACCCCGTCTCTACTAAAAAATACAAAAAGTTAGCCGGGCGTGGTGGCGGGCGCCTGTAGTCCCAGCTAATCGGGAGGCTGAGGTAGGAGAATGGCATGAACCCGGGAGGCGGAACTTGCAGTGAGCCAAGATCACGCCACTGCTCTCCAGCCTGGGCAACAGAGCGAGACTCCATCTCAAACAAAAACAAAAACAAAAAACAAGTGTGAGTGTGTGTGTATGTATAAGTACACACATATATGTACACATATATTTATGCACTATATACATATACATTACATACACACACACACAGACATAAATATGTACATAACATTTGCAGGTTTAATTTGGTGTTTCTTCATCCTTCCAGCAGGCAGGAATCACAGTGAACTTAAAGAACCAATTCCGGCCGGGCGCGGTGGCTCAAGCCTGTAATCCCAGCACTTCGGGAGGCCGAGATGGGCGGATCATGAGGTCAGGAGATCGAGACCATCCTAGTTAACACGGTGAAACCCCGTCTCTACTAAAAATACAAAAAAATTTGCTGGGCGTGGTGGCAGGCACCTGTAGTCCCAGCTACTCGGGAGGCTGAGGCAGGAGAATGGCGTGAACCCGGGAGGCAGAGCTTGCAGAGAGCCAAGATCGTGCCACTGTACTCCAGCCTGGGTGACAGAGTGAGACTCTGTCTCAAAAAAAAAAAAAAAAAAAAAAAAAAAAACCAATTCTATCTTATGTGTATTTTATTGTTTTCCTTTACCCTAATCTTAGTACAGGAGTCATTTCTTTCCTACAGGGTGATAAAATGATTCTCAGCATTCATGAGATTTCATGCTCTGCCCAAAACTGTTGAGGTGATTAAAGCACATTTTTGATTCTTTGATTTTCTTGATAAATTTGAAAAACAGAAGTTTAGTAAATTTTACTTTTTTTTTTTTTTTTTAAAGACGGAGTTTTGCTCTTGTTGCCCAAGCTGGAGTACAATGACATGATCTTGGCTCACTGCAACCTCTGCCTCCTGGGTTCAAGTGATTCTCCTGCCTCAGCCTCCCTAGTAGCTGGGATTACAGGCACATGCCACCATGTCTGGCTAATTTTTTGTATCTTTAGTAGAAACGGGGTTTCACCATGTTAGGCTGGTCTCAAACTCCTGACCTCAAGTGATTTGCCCACCTCAGCCTCCCAAAGTGCTGAGATTACAGATGCGAGCCACCGTGCCTGGCCTACAATTTTTTAAAGTATTGACAGTATGACTTAACTCATCTTTCTTCCTCAGTACTGTCTTATACAAAGGAAAGGGCAGCACAGTACTTTTCTAATATTGTGTGGCACAAATATCTTTGGCCTGCTAAATTCGCACGTTTATTGATTCTTGCTTCCCTCTTTATATCTCGGCTATCGTAGTCTAAAGACAGTACATCATGTTTGTATATCACTTTTTTAGCTGCCTCCACGTGTGTTAATATCTCATTACTTGATCCTCATTAGTATCTGCCTTAGCATCCAATTTTTTAATCTATATTTGTGTCGGTTGCATGATATTGAAAACATGATTTAAGCAGTGGATATTAAAAGTTGTGGGATTTTGTTTTTTCAGTTGTCCTTGTAATTTATGGACATGACTATTAAACAGAGATGAGAAGAGAGCTATTATTTTTAGGCCTACACAAAATTAGTGAATCTGGAGGACAAATTGAAGTGCTGATAGTATCCACCGTATTAAGATGTTTATATGTAACTTTTCTTTTTTTTTTTTTTTCTTTCTTTCTTTCCTTTTTTTTTTTTAAAGGGAGTTGCGGGTGGTCTCATTATGTTGCCCAGACTGGCCTTGAACTCCTGGGCTAAAGTGGTCATCTCACTTCAACCTCCTGAGTAGCTGGGACTGTAGGCATGTGTGCTTGTATTATTTTTAAAAATATAACATCTTTGATGTGAGGTAGCTTATTGTGCAACAAATTACTCAGTTGGTTAGAAAACAACCAGATATTATTTATGAAATATTTGTACCAGGGTGGCTCATGCCTGTAGTCCCAGCACTTTGGGAGGCTGAGGTGGTCGGATCACAAGGTCAGGAGTTCGAGACCAGCCTGGCTAACATGGTGAAACCCTGTCTCTACTAAAAATACAAAAACTAGCCGGGCGTGGTAGCACTTGCCTATGTCCAGCTACTCAGGAGGCTGAGGCAGGAGAATCGCTTGAACCCTGGAGATGGAGGTTGCAGTTATCCAAAACTGCGCCACTGTACTCCAGCCTGGTGACAGAGCGAGACTCCCTCTCAAAAAATAAAAGAAGAAATATTTGTACTGGTTTAAAGATAGTCCCTCTAAATCATCAGGGAAGAAATAAAATAATTTACAAAAATTTTTAAAGTGTATATGTAACATCTTTGAATGTATATTCATTTTCATTTTAAATTAAAGTAAGATAACTTAGAATAATTTTTATTTTAATTTTTAATTGTTATATATATTTATAATTTTTTTTTAATAGAGGTGGGGCTTCGCCATGTTGCCCAGGCTGTTCTGGAACTTCTGAGGTGTAAGCTCAGGTGTAAGCTACCATCCATGCGTGACCAATAACTAACTTTCTTTTTTTTTCTTTCTGTTTTATCTTGTTTTGAAAAGGAGTCTTGCTCTGTCTCCCAGGCTAGAGTGCAATGGCGCAATCTTGGCTCACTGCAACCTTAATCTCCCAGGTTAAAGTGATTCTCCTGCCTCAGCCTCCCAGGTAGCTGGGATTACAGGCATCTACCACTGCACCTGGCTAATGTTTGTGTTTTTAATAGAGACCGGGTTTCACCATCTTGGCCAGGCTGGTCTCCAACTCCTGACCTCGTGATCCACCCACCTCGGCCTCCCAAAGTGCTGGGATTACAGGCTTGAGCCACCATGCCTGGCCCCAATAACTAACTTCCCTCCCTCCCTCCTTCTTGCTTGCTTTCTTCTCTTCCTTCCCTTCCCTTCCTTTCCTTTCTTCTTTCCTTTCTTTCTTCCTTTCTTTCCTTCCTTTCTTCCTTTCTCTTCCCTTCCTTTCCCTTCTTTCTCTTCCCCTTCCCGTTCCCTTTCCCTTTCCCTTCCTCTTCCCTCTCCCTTCCCCTTCCCCTTTTCTTCCCCTTCCCCTTCCCTTCCCCTTCCCTTTCCGTTGCCTCCCAATGTGCTTGGATTACATGTGTGAGCCACTGCGCCCGGCCTAATAACTTGTAAAAAGTACAAAATTGTGTCTGAGTTAGATACAACTCTTTTATTTCCATAAATTAGGATGTTCTTTATATTATAAAACTAAAATACAGAAGTAAATGGATGCTGTGACTGATACAAGATTGCAACTGTCATCCAGTTTAATTTTTTTCACTAACTTATCGGTGTCAATTTGAACTTTTAGATATATTTATACTACTAAAATACTTACATCCTTATCTTTTTTCTAGGTTTTAAAATTGTTTAATTGAGGCCAGGCACAGTGGCTCAAGCCTGTAATTCAAGTACTTTGGGAGGCTGAGGTGGGCGGATCACTTGAGGCCAGGAGTTCGAGACCAGCCTGGCCAACATGGCAAAACCCCGTCTCTACTAAAAATACAAAAAAAATTGCTGGACATGGTGGCGTGCACTTGTAGTTCCAGCTCCTCGGGAGGCTGAGGTATGAGAATCGCTTGAACCTAGGAGGTGGAGGTTGCAGTGAGCCAAGATTGCGCCACTGCACTCCAGCCTGGGTGATAGAGTGAGACTCTATCTCCAAATAATAAATAAATAAATAAATAAAATTATTTAATTGAACCTAAACTATGATGTACCCCATGCTGATCCCAGTTCCATTAGAATTCCATTTTAGCTTTTAACAGAATTATATTATAGCTTCTTCCCTTTGCACCAAAGGTGAGCATAGATCCTCTTGCAGACTAAATCAGGAACTGGAAGGAAGAAACAACGTGTGTTCATTTTCTTTTAGGTCTGCTATCTGATGAATGTGTTGAGCATGTCTTGATTTCCTTTTTGGTGATTATTTTCACAGAGCTGTCGTTTTTCTTCTTTTGTTTTGCTAAGATACTAATATCTATGAATTTTTTTGCTCTTGTTTTTTAGCAAATCACAGATGAAGGTCTCATTACTATATGCAGAGGGTGCCATAAGTTACAATCCCTTTGTGCCTCTGGCTGCTCCAACATCACAGATGCCATCCTGAATGCTCTAGGTCAGAACTGCCCACGGCTTAGGTAAACATTTCTTGTTTAGCTCAAAAAAATCTTAGAACAAAAGTTTCCTTCACCCATATTTCTTCCTTGGAACTTTGGAATTTTAAGGTAGACACTGCAGACGCTTTGAAATGTTAAGGTAGTTAAGCACCTTTTAGATGCCCACCTACTTGCTTTTTGTACCTCATTTGATTTCATGTAATTGGCGTGAACCAAGGGGTGACAATCCCCAAATTCCACTACTTGCTATCCATACTAGAAAAAAAATCAACATTTTATTACTTGAGATAGGATAGTATTCTTTCTTATTAATGCTTTTATATAATTCTTTTCTCAAAGTAGTTTTTAAAGGTCCACACTGAGGTCATTTATGTCATAGTAATGATACCAGGTACATAGCAGGGGGTACTATGTTTAAAAATAAAAAACACTGTTACAGTTACAGGAGTACCTCTTTTGTACTGATGGGCTTTTAAAACAGCCTTATTTCTCTCTGGCTCCTCAGTTTGAAGAATGCTGTGTTTTTTACTTTTTGTAGAGACGGGATCAGGCTGTGTTGCTCAGGGTGACCTCAAACTCTTGACTTCCAGGGATTCTCCCTCCTCAGCTTCCCAAAGTGTTGAGATTACAGGCGAGAGCCACTGTGCCCAGCCTATTATTGTCTTTTGAGGCAGTATTGGGTAGGCCTGCCTCAATCTCTTGGGTTCAAGTGATCCTGTCACCTCAGCCTCAGGAGTAGCTGGGACTAAAGACATATGCTACCACACCTCGCTACACTTTTTGTTCTCTAAAATAAACTTACGTAGTACTTGTAAATTAGGTGTTGCTTTAGGTGCTTTACAAATACTAATTCAGGGCCAGGTGCTGTGGCGCACACCTCTAATCCCAGCATTTAGGGAGGCCGAGGCTAAAAGATCGCTTGAGCCCAGGAGTTTGAAACCAGCATGGGCAACATGGCGGAACCCTGTCTCTACAAAAAATAAAAAATTAGCCAGGCATGGTGGTGTGTGCCTTGTAGTCCCAGCTACTCAGGAGGCTAAAGTGAGAGGATCACTTGAGCCCAGGAGGTCAAGGCTGCAGTGAGCTAAGATTATACCGCGGCCCTCTAGCCTGGGCAACAGAGTGAGACTCTTGCTCAATAACATTAATAATTTGTTTAATCTTCATAGCACCATATAAGCACTATTATCACCTTTTTTTTTTTTTTTTTTTTGGAGACAGCGTCTTGCTCTGTCACCCTAGCTGGAGTGCAGTGGCGCAATCTGGGGTCACTGCACTCTCCATCACCTGGGTTCAAGCAATTAGCCTGCCTCAGCCTCCCTAGTAGCTGGGACTACAGGCAAGCACCACCACACCCAGCTAGTTTTTGTATTTTTAGTAGACAACATGGCTTTCACCATGTTGGCCAGGATGGTCTCCTGACCTTATGATCTGACCCCCTCAGCCTCCCAAAGTGCTGGGATTACAGGCGTGAGCCACCACACCCAGCCTTGTTATCGCCATTTTATAGATGAGAAAACTGAAGCACAAAGAGACAAAGTAACCTGCTCGAGGTCTCAGCTAGTTAGTGTAGGAACAAGTATTCAACCCAGGAGCTCTGGCTCCTGAGCCTACGAAGCCACTTTTCTTACGTATAAAAATCATTGTAGGAGGCCGGGCGCGGTGGCTCAAGCCTGTAATCCCAGCACTTTGGGAGGCCGAGACGGGCGGATCACGAGGTCAGGAGATCGAGACCATCCTGGCT